AAAAACAATTTACAATGTTTAACGTTATTTTTACAGCTGTGATTTATTATTATGTTGAGTCTTTTGCGAGTTAGTGCATCTGGGCACTTTTACTCTATGATGGCTGGGGGGTTTCTGCAGAGTCCCACCCATCTCACTGACTAATTTCAGTATTCCTCATAATCTTCGTTATTATTCAATGATTGATCTAAGATCTGCGTACCGCTCCGTGCGGTTAGTGATTGCTCTGAGATTAGATAGCGCTAAGTAGGGCAGCCTGTCGATTTTCGCATATAGCTTCAGAGCTCTGTCCATTGTGTATTTTTTGACCGGATCTATTCTAAGGTCTCTTAGTATGTCATTCGTGCGGATGTACCATGGCACTTTGAAGAGCCTTCGGAGAGCCTGACTTTGAGCAACTTGTAGCTTTTGGATAGCAGAGTCGGCAGCTTTGCTATACGCGACACACCCATAAAGTGATTTATGCGTTAATTTTAATTATTAGCACAGCAAGTCTTGATTGTTTACAAATAAACAATAAACTTTATATATGAATAATACAAATTAAGTGAACGTTGGCTCTGTTTGTTAACACTCGGTTCTACAGTTCAAGTTTGATAGTAATTAATTCCTAACATTTAGTGTTCAAAAATTATATATGAACAATTAAATTAAAAGATGTTTTTAAAGACACTTGCTGTTGATGGATATGCGTAAGAGTTGTATGGTAAGTCTAAGTCTCAATTTGATTTAAAAAAAATAACGGTGATTAATGCAAGATTTTTAGATCAATTGGACTAAATTAAAGAAAAAATTCTGGAAAGCTCAAGAGTACATTTTGTTTCTTTACAACACACCCATTCATTCGGATTGAAAATTCAGCTATTCCATAATGAGATGTTATCATAATCACGGTATTTAAAATCTAGCCATCTGATTTTTATTTATTTCGAAATTTAAAAAAATTGCTTTCTATGGAGAAGTTTTAATTCAATTTGGAGTGGTAATCTCTGCAACTAATGAATATTTTAAGAACATCAAAGAATTTTATTAAGTAAGTAAGTAATAGAACTCAAACAATAAATTTAAAAGTAAGTACAAATTCAACTTATATATATATTTTTTGTATAACAACATAATTATATTAAAAATAATAGAGGCCATTATATATAATAGGTTCCAGTTTTTGTACATTTTTCTATAAATTATTATAATTGTTTATTGTTCCTGCTGTACTTCGTACATTGCACCTTGGAGCAATTTGTTGGGTTCGTTTTTCTTATGAAAGCTGAAGTTTTAATGTCAATGGCTTACCAATGGCACTTGGTTTTCTGGGACATGTCGCTTTAGAAAGCAACTTCTGAAACCATTATAAGTTATTTTTATTTTCGATTAACATGTACTATTTTAATCTTTCTGTTATACCCTACATAAGAGAGAAAATAAAGCATCGTTGCATTAAACCTAAAAGGTTTATATGCAGATTGAACATTATTATAAGCATTCACTCCATTCGAAATCTATTCGTTTGCTAACTATTTGCACAATTGACCTTTACTGAAGTATACAATTGTAGAGATATCTTTAAGTATACCTAGATTTGAGTTTGGCACACTCAATTTCCTCACAACTGCAGTAGCAATTATTGAAGAAAATATTCAATTTAGTAACATGTTTCCTCAAACAACAGTGATACATCACCATTCCTATCATAAGACTGGTAGGTACCCCTATGGAGTATTTCAATGAACTGTTGAAATATCCTTTTATTTTAAAGAGGTCAAATTATTTATAGATATTAGCATATTATTGATCTTTGTCATTTTGGAGTTAAGGAAACACATAGTAATAACAAGTAATTCTGTCGGTAATTGTAAACGCCAAGTACAAAATTTCGACTTTTAAATAATACAGGCCGTTACAATGAATGTCTGACGAAAAAGATTTACCAACGTTAAACTTATCTTTACGTGTTGACCGTCAAAAATTATTATAATGAAAAAATGTTTAATTCGAATGAATGAAAACTTGTTTTATTAATCGAATTATTCCTTAGTCAATATGTGTTTTACAATAATTGTGGCATTATGCCATTACCTTACTTTTTTGGATTTCATGAATTGAAAAATGAAATGAAAACTAAAAAAAGATGATTGTACCCAAGTCGCAATCATTGAACTTTTAACTTAATTTAAAACTCATTTTTGTATTGCAGTTGATTCACTCATTCGAAATTGATTCGTCTGCGTGCTATTCACATATGTGTTGTTGTTTTTGTATTTTCGACTGTTTGAATTGCTCATAAATTGTTTGAAGATTAATCGCTTTTCGGTGCACATATGAAACAGTTTCAAGTTGTAAATGCTTTTACGAATGCTTAAATATGATTCATTGACGTAGTTTGACGTTAAAATATAACAAAGAAGTTCTTTTAAAAATAATTATAAATTATAAAGTAATCATGTTAAATAATGCTTTTGAATACAT